ATAATATTATTTATCATTTAATATATTTATAATATATTCTTCATAATTACTTATCTTGAAAAAGTGCATCGTTTTACGAAATATCGATCCATTAAATTATAAAAAATTATCGAATTTGCAGGTCGCTGCATTCTGTGACTTCTACTACGCTCAAGTACAGCCACGTGCAGCTTTTCCCCCACCATCGAACATCTTGGTGTCTCGCCAATGGGTGCGTACCATCCCCACCACGTGATCCATACTGGCTGACGATCATCTCTCACACTACACGCACCCTCTTCGCGGTAAAAGGATGGGATATTCCCGTGGATACACGTGGCCACCGCTGCCGGGTTCGACGACCTCGCTTGTGCGTCCTCACGCAGTGCTTTTCGGTGATGTACCGGTGGGGGATGCGTACGATGTCCCCTTGTTTCCCCCCAGGAGGTACCGACTCTGCCGTCTGGCAACGTTTTCCCTCAAGTAGCAATGGCTATTCGACTACTTTCAGTCACGAGTAAACGAACAAGTTACTTTTCAATAATACGAATTTTAATGCTTGCGAGATATATTATATTATGACGAATCGAAAAATAGAATGGATTGGAGAAAAGATGTTTAAAAAAATGTGAAAAAAAAAATTGGAATTAAATGTTTTAAATTTTTTTTATACAAATTACGTTACAAAATTATTATAGCGAAAGATTTTATCAAAATGATAAAATTTCCGCTATGATAAATGATAAAAAATTGATATTCGTATTAATTTATATTTTATTTTTAATCTTATCACATTAAGTTTATTATAGAAATTCGTAGAATTTTTAGATTTGTGTAATTTTGCATTTTTTTCTCTCTCTTTTTTTTTTTTTTTTCATAGAGATAACATTTTAATATTTACTCCAATTAGCTTGTTCCCATTACTAGTGTTAGACAGAACCTTGCAGTCTGCAATCAACGATCTTATTCTCTTCTCGTTTCTCCCCTTTCTCTGACCGCCCACTTACTGGTGTTCTATCGTCGTAACTATTTTTGCACGCAGTTTCTTCCATCCTTTTTGATCCTTACTTTTTTGCTTCCCGATGGGGGAACATGAGCGTGGAAAAAAAAGCACTGATGCATAATGCACACTTTGATCGCGGCAGGGGTTTAAAGTTTCTTTGAAGATGTGTGAAATTAAAAGATTCAAAGGAACTATTATTTTTTTATGTATTAATAATTATTAAAAAGTTATTTTTATTTTTAATAAAAAGATAAAAGTCACTTTGACTTTGTTAAAATGATATTATATCTTTTTTTCATAGAATTATACTAATCGAAATTAATGTCGAAATGAATTCAAGTGACTTTATTATTTAGATAAAAAAACTTTAGACCTATCAAATTATTAGAGATATATAAATATTTTTGATAAAATTATTATATTGCATTTTATTGCATATTAACTCAATGCAGTTTTACTATTAAAATTATACGTGTATGCACACATATATTAATGAGATTTGTGACACTAGAACACAGATAATTAAATATACACAGTCGTTATAGATATCGTGAAATTAATGAAATATATTCAAATTTATTTTTCCCAGAAATCATAAAGTTGAGAATCAAAAAAAATTTATTTCAGATTCCATAATTGTACATATATACACACATATATTCAATAAATATGAAATAATAGAGCTTTCAAAAAAATTCAATAAATATTTATGAATTATTAAAAAATTTATTGATTACAATTAGTAATGATTATGTTATTATTTATTTTGGTTTATCATATCGTTTTAAATGAAAAAAATGAGAAAAGAAGACCGTGATTCTTTTAGAAAGAGTGCATTGTAAATTTATTTAAACCTTAGGTTAAATCTATTATGTTGAAATAAACTTTTAAAAAATTTGACTGTTTTATTATGACTATAAAATCAAATTCTTTGAAATGTTTCTTTTTTTATTACGATTTGCTCCTTTTAGAACATTTGCATGAAATTTTGTAACACAATTGAAATAACATCTTAATTTGATACATATTTGTACATATATGTATACAATTGAAAATGAAAGATTTAGACTAATTAATAAAAATATATTGATATTATAGATATATAATTTGATGAAATTACATGTACTATAGATATAATAGATTATTTATCTTACATTTATTAAAAAATTAATATCTTCATCAATTTCAAATTTTTTAAATTTTATATTAGTTTATTCGTTTTATTTATTTTGTAGTAAGAAATAGATATTTTATTTAAATATACATATATTTTTTTTGTGTAAAAAAATTATCAGATATA